GCCTGCGCGGCCGCCGTACCATGCTCGCCGTGGGGCCGCCCCTCCACCGGCACGGAGACCGTGCGTCTCAGCAGTTTGTTGCGGCTGGACTCGCTCCTCCGGTCCCGGATCAGAAGGGGGTGTATCTAGGGGATGCGGAGTGTGTCAGACCTCCTGGCCCCGCCGTCCCTGCGGGCCCCCACCGTCTGCAGGTGGCGCGGGCGGGGGCGTTTCTGTCTCCGGCCCATCGGCCCTTCTCTCCGCGCTCAGGAAACACCCTCCAGGGATCCTCCCAGACCTCAGCACTCCCGCCACTCCTGGGAGTTAGCGACCTCCGGGACCCGCGTCCCCTTGACCTTCGCTTCGTCCAGGCTCCTCGCCTCCCTCCCAGCCCCCACCTCCTTTACCCCCTTCTCCCTGTCGCGCTGTCACGGGGGCAGCAGAAGCTGCATTTATAATCAGGAGCCACAGCTTGCCTCCCTCCCACGGCCCGGCTCTCGGCCAGGCTGGGACCCAACCTCCCCCCCACAGGGTCTGGTCACCTCCCCCCCCCTTCTCTAAGCCTTAGTCCCAGCTACCCGGGCATCCCTAGCTCATCTCCAAGAACCCAGGTTGCCCCAGCCCCAGCCCATCCGTTCCCTGCAACCCTGCAGACTGTCACTGCTCCAGTTCCACCCACGCCCCTGCCCCACTCAGGACCGCCTTCCAACCCTAGATTCCCCTGTTCCTAATGCCCCTTGGGCGAGTGGTCACTGGGCTCCTCAGTCTCCCCACCCCCTTCGGCCCTTCCTTCAGCACACAGCCCACTGTCCTCTTTCATCTTCACAGGCCCCTGCTCGTGTGGGTTCCAGTTCCCCTGATTTTTCCTGGGGACTCCAAGTCCATGACCCGAGGCTGATGGCCACTAGGGCACTACTCAGCTGCTCTCCAGGGCCCAGAACTTGCTCTCCGCACGTCTCCAGAGCTCCCCTGGTCACCTCTGCTTTACTCGGGTGGAAGTGCTCTATCTCGCTGTCTCACCTGTACCCAGGGTCCTCACACCCCAGTTCGCCCTAACCCCAGTTTCTCCAGCCTGCATCTCCAAGTTGTCACGAGTCTCTCTCTGCCTCTCCAGCTCTGCAGGCTACCACCACTCCTAAGGCTCATCCTCAAATCAGCCTCCTGCAGGGGCACACCTGGGGGGCACCTGTCCTCAAGTGTCCCATTCCTCTGAGGGGCCCTCTGTGCAGACTCTGCGCCCAGGCCAGAACCCACACTTCTCCGGCCTTCACTCCTATGGCCACCACCTCCGCTGTGACTCTGTTTCTTCACCTTCACTCTGGCAAAGTCCCTGTTCCACCCCACCGCACCCCATCCTCCCTGCACCCCTTCCCTAAAGGAGGCTCTCAGTCTACATTGACAGCAGGCGGCCTGCTGGTGTTCACTGCCACCCATGCCAAGACCTGGCGTCCTCGCCCCTGGCACCTTCAGCCCTGGCACTTAACCCCAGAGCCACTATCCCCTGCCTTCTCCCTGGAGCGCTCTCCTGTCCCTGCACTGCACCCCATAGTGGGGCAAGGGCTGGGAGTCAGAGTAGGGAGAGAAGTGGCTTGCTCAGTGGGGGTCAGGGGGTGCCCCCCAGGTCACTCATTTCCTCCCTTCTCCAAGCCCTTCTGCTTCCCATCTCCTCCTTTCTAGCCCACCCTACACTAGATGAGGCCACATCTTGACCCCAAATCTTTAGTCATGTCTCCCCAGTATGGCCCTCAAAGAACCCATGGCCAAGGTGACAGAATGACTGTGCCTTGACCCACCCTGACCCACTCTCCTCCCAGTGTGTACTGGGCTTTTCCTTGTTAGGCTTCCTGTCTCTCTCAGCTCTTCTGAGGATGCACTTCATCTTTCTCTCCAGTCTCCCCAGCTACCTGTGGTCGTTTCCCAGCCTCCCCACTCTGCTCACCTCATCCTCATCCAGCATGAGCAGCTGGTTCCCCGAGATGATGCAGAACCGAGGATTCCAGCCAGGACGGTCATACGGGGAATGAATGTATTGGGTTCGGTGCATAGGGGGTCCCCGTACATCTGGGGGACAGAGACACACAGAAACCGTAAGGGAGGCGCTACAGAGGTCTAAAGTGGCAAGAAGAAAGTCCACAGAATGGGAGCAGGAAAAAAAAAAAAGAATGGGAGCAGGAGGGCAGACATGATGGTGCATGCCTGTCGTCCCAGCACTGGGGAGGCTGAGGCAGGAGAATCACTGTGAATTCGAGGCAGCCTGGGGCTACAAAGTGAGTTCAAGGCCAGCCTGAATTGTATAGCAAAACCCTGTTTCAGGCCGGGGAGATGGCTCAGTAGGATAAGCACTTGACTGGCAAATGCAAGGATCTGAGTTCAATCCCCGGTTCCGAAAAAAAAAAAAAAAAAAAAAAGTTAAAATCAAAACCCTGTTTCAAAAAGACAAATAAAGAGAGGCACCCCACCCGCCTTAGAGCCTTAGAAAGATTGCAGTTGAGGGTGCACTCAGCAGGTATCAAGGACCAGAAGACAAGGCTTTATATCTGGGGGAAAGAGGGGAGAGGAATCAGAGGAGGTGCAGGAGTGTGTGGTCTGCACAAGACCACAGAGGTAGGGACTACAGGAGGGGCAGCTTCATCATGATGGGAGGGACATGATTGGGGACAAGTGCAGGGAAGAGACATCCAGCCACTTGGAGAAGCATAAAGGTGGGAAGCAGCACAACCGGCAGAAGAACACACACAGGTTGGTGGCAGGTGTCTAGGGAGAGCAAGGGATTCCGCTAATTGTGGAAGGTGGACCTAGAAGGTGGTGCCTCCTATCAAGGAGAAGAGGAAACCTAAGCCACTGTGGGAAGGAAGGCCGTGTGTGTGTGTGTGTCTGTGTCTGTGTCTGTGTGTGTCTGTGTGTGAACATTTGGGCCAAGAGATTCTGAGAGAGCTAAACATCTGGCAAAGAGGAAGTGGGGATTACTGTTCACAGTCAGAGGTAGGCTCTCTCCTTCTACCCCTCCTGGTCCTGCTCTGCCCAGCCTTTGTGGGAAGTCCTGGTTCTGGTGGGAAGACAAAGTAGCTTTTGTCAGCATCTGGCCATGGAAGGGCCACGGCGGAAGGAGGTAGGAAAGATACTGTGTTTCAGTGAACAGCAACCAAATTGATCTCTTTCCCCATTTGCTGCTCCGCAATCCCCGCTAGTTCCTATGGACAGGATGGAAGCCGACTCCAGGGCAGAAGCCTCCCCAGGGCCCAGTGAGGAGCTGGAGGAGGGAAGAGTGGAGAGAAGAGCATGTATCCGATGACACAGACGCCAAAGCTCCCGGAAGACAGCAGCGGTAGACTAAGGTCAGCCCCACTCAGGTCTGGCCCTGGGGTCCCCCTTCCCCACCTTTGCTGATCTTGTACCCTCCCACACACAATCTTGGGGACACACTGGGCCAGGTTCTAGGGGAGTCTATCATGCTGACAGACAGCAGTGTGATAGAAAGTAGGCTTAGGGTATCAGCAGGAGGGTTAGATGAAGAAAAATCAAATTCAGTCCCCTTGACGGGACATTAACATGGATAATTAAGATAGCCATATTGCACAACTGGCCTCTGAGCTTCATTATAGTGGAAAGCCCTGAGCAGGAGCTTCGAAAAGCCTTGCCACTTTGTGCCTGCAGACATGCTCCTCAGACCTCCCCAACCTGCACACTACAGTAAGATGAGCCCGCAGGACACAGCTAGAAACCACTCACTGTCTCAAAAGCATCTCAGAGACCAGGCCCAACTGCATGCAAAGACCACGGATACCTAAACTACGAGACTGCAGACGCTGCACTCAGCGCTGCACACCCAGAGGAAGATCGCAGATACACATCACTGTAAGGGGTGCAGGCTGCAGCTAAGGGGAGCATTTTAGACTGCAGGGGCCACCTTTCTCCTGGGAGTAGGAAGGACACAGGAAACCTAGGAGCAACTCTGGAAACACGCGCACACCACACACACACACACACACACACAGTCTGGATGTAGGAGGGAATGGTGTGGATCCTGGGACACAGGAACATGGCTGAGAAAGGGGATAATGCACTGGAATGAGATACTCCACAAAGGCTCAGCTAGGGACCCTTCCAACTCCCATCCCCACCATCAACCCCAGTATCTTTGCAGCCCAAATGTCCAACCCCCTAGGAAGTGGAGGAGACATGGAAAGAGGGATGATGGCAGAATGGGGTGTGAAGGGAAAGTGAGTGGGTACAGAGAGGGCGACAAGACAGGGAACGGGGTAGGAGTCAGGATGGGCCGGGGAGACAAATGACAGTGTGACTATTAACAGAAAACAGCACAGTAAGTTCCTTGGGACACGGGATACACCAGAAGGACTCAGCCTGACATGGGGCTGAGGAAACAGGAGGGCCTAACGGGGACCAAAACACAGGGTCAGGAAGAAACAGAGAGGTGGCATAGGTATGGGATCCCAGATAGAAGAGGAGGAGGAAAATGGGTATCAGAGAGGGGACCGATACAGGGGAAAGACTGAAGGGGGACTCATATAAGGAACGGACACCATATGGGGGGAAAGATATAGGTGATGGACAGCAGAGGAAGGGAGGGGGAATGGGAATAAGGATGGGGTGGGGGAAGGGCTTAAAAGTGGTGAAGTGAAGAAAGCAGATTAAGACCCCAGAGGCTGCATTTCACTTGTCAAGAGCCTTAATGAGTGTTTGCGTCCCGGGCAGCATCTTAAGCTGCCTCTGATCCATCACTCAGCCTCACTTGTATCCCCCCACCCCCCAAAAAACCCCACACACATAATCCGGCCCTCCCCCTGCCCTGGCCTCCCCTCCCCCACGGCTCTCCCTCTCCTCTCTTCCCTCCATCTGGACCTCCACCCCCCCACTGCCTCCCTCTCTCTCCATCTGGCCCCTTCTCTCCATCCTCCTCTTTTCCTAATCCCTTCCATTCTCTGAGCCCCCCTTGGTCCCCCCATCTCCCCATTTTCTCAGCTTCTGGTCTTCACCCCTATATTTTCATGTCCCCCTCTCGGTCTCTCTTCTAAGACTCTGTGTCCCTGGTATTTTCCTGACCACTCAGTGCCCACCCCCAAATGGTTTCTGCAGCCCTACTTCCACCTCCCCACCCCTCTGGCGCTCTTTCCCCCATCATTTCCCCTCAGCCCCCCTCCAAGCCCTGTTTCCTGGCCCCTCGGCCCCTTACCTGCCCCTTTCCCTCCAGTCTCCAATCCCTCTTTCCCTCGCTCCCACCCCTGCCTCCCCGATCCTCCCCTCTCCCTCCATTCCCGCCGCTCCTGGCCCTCCCCCGCCCCTCCCCCTCCTACCCCCGCCGGCCCTCCCCCTCCCCCACCGCGTACCTCGGAAGGGGGCATAGGACATCGCGGGGATGCTCCCCCGATGGATGGAGGCGCGAGACCTGCTCATCAGGCCTGGGGGGAGGGGGCGGGGGACGGGGGAGAAAGAAAAGAGAGAAAGAGGGGGAGAGAAAGGGGGAGCAGGAGGAGGAGGTGGAGGAGGAGGAGGAGGAGAGAGGAGGAGAGAAGAGCAGAGAGGAGCGGAGAGGAGGAGAGAAGAGGAGGAGGAGGAGAATGAGAGCCAACGGCAGCAGCAGCAGCGAGAGAGAGGGGGGCGGGGGAAGCGAGCGCGAGAGAAGAGAGCAGGAGGAGGAGGAGGAGGGAGAGGCTGCAGCCCCCACCCCTACTCAGGGAGACCCGGGGAGGAGAGGGGGAGCGAGACTCCTAGTCCCACACGCCGGACACAGTGCCTAGAGACAGACCCCAGACCCCAGGAGGGAGTGACAGACCCCAGACCCACAGAGGATAACTCAGTCCTCATGCACAGCAGGCTAATCTGAGACACAGACCCCAAATCTAGAGGAAATGGGACCTTGATTTCACAAATGAAGACCCCAGACCCGCCCCCCCATCATGATAAGAATGTGAGAATCCAGGCTCCAAAAGATTCTTCAGAGCCACAAAAATCTTCAGACTTCAGACCCTGTGGTGATGATTTCAGGGATCAACACGTGAGACCCAGATGCAATGCAAAAATATGAAATCCAGATTAGAAAGACCAGACCTAGACCGGCTGGAACTCAGACCTTAGGGGAGAGCTGAGGGACCCTAGACCCAGACTCAGACACACAAGGTCCAGACTCGAGGCAGAGACAGACACCTGCTACCCCAAAGGTGGACCCAGAGACCTAAACCTCACAAAGTTTGAAAAAGCTCAGAGAAACCCCCTTAGACAACAGAAAAGGGAACTCAGTTCTGAAAAGGCTCCCAACACTTTCTCTCTCTCTCTCTCTCTCTCTCTCTCTCTCTCTCTCTCTCTCTCTCTCTCTCTCTGGTCTTTTGAGACAGGGTTTTACTATATAGTTCAAGCTGGCCTTGAACTCACTTTGCAGCTCAGGCTGGCCTTGAATTCGCAGTTAGCCTCCTGCCTGGGCCTCCTGAGTGCTGGGGTTCCAGCCGTGTGTGGTGGCACCATGTCCAGCCCCCAGCACTAATACTGAAGTCCCTATGGTGTCTCAAAGGTAAACTGCAATTCAGAGACCTCAGGGACACCCTACCCCAACTCCAGAAAGGTAAAACCAGAGAACCCTACCCTCAGCCACCCAGGAACCCCAGAACTTGGAGGTGCTGGGCAGCAGAGCCTTTTTCTCTGCTGTCTCCTTCCACTCCTCTGGCCTCTCCTTGGCCCCTCTCTGCATTTTTGGGTCATTGGATGTGCTTGGGCCCCAGGGAGGTTATGTAGGGCAGGTCCCAGCTCCTGGGGGGATGGGTTAAGGAAAGGAGCCCCATGACCAAAGGTGGCCCAGTCCTGGGCAGTGACACAGGCAGGGGAAAAGGGACAGAACTGTCACCACCATGAATGGCCTCCAGTTCACCTGTTTCAACCTTTGGGTTTTCAGCTAGTTTTGATCAATCTGTATCCCACATAAAGGAGCTCCACAGTCCTTTAGGAATGTCTTCTTCCTCACCTACACACTGTCGAGCCATGCCTGCATCTTGGCTAATCACTGCCCCCTACCCAGGGACAGCTGGCCTGTCAGCTCAGCCTTGCCCGTTGCCATCCCAGGCACTGCTCAACCCCAACTCCAAGGGCAGAGGGCGCTCTATTCGATCCCGAGGTTCAGGTTTCCCAGACCCTCCCACCCCTACAGGAAACAGAGTAGGGGCTGTTGCTAGGCACATTTGGGGGCTTAAGGATGATCTCCCACTCCACTGCCTGACGCATCCTGTCTGCGGGGACTCCAGCCCCCCCTTGCCCAGCGCCAGCTCTCCTGTCACGTGGCCCACCGGGCTGGCCCGCGATTGGTCTCCCGGCCGCACGCCCCGAAGTTGCGCCCGCGGGAGAGGACCGGCCCTGTCACGTGACAGAGGACCGCCGCAGCGGCTCTCCTCAGCCAGCAGCCGGGCGTTTCGGAAATGGGCGTGTCTTTTCCGCGCACTTCTGCGGATCCCCCTGCCGATTGGCCCAATAGCTCTTTGCTCCGCCCCATTAGGAGGCGGGGAAACCCGAGCCTCGTGAGCGTCGGGATTGGCTGGCTCTGGAGACTCGGGCCGGCGGGCTGTATTGTCACGTGGGTGAGCTGTTTTCTTATCACGTGGCTGCTACCCAGGTAAGAAGAGGCCGCCCTTCCACGGTTTGGGTTCTTTTCTTGCCTTACGTGTGACTTGGTATCAAGCCTCCTCTCCCAGCGTAGGCTGCATGAGAGGGGCGCGGACATCCGCAGCCCTGCTCGGCGGAGGGGTGAGTGCCCGCCCCGCCCCTTCCGGTCCTCCAAACCTAGACCCGCGTTCCGAACTCCCGGATGAGATCAGAAGCTTGGGCTACGTTTCCCAAGTTTCTTTACCAGTTGCAAGGACGTTTTGCTTTCGGTTGCGCGAGAGGGAGGGCTGAGCCCGATTGTGTGGCCGAGCGAAGGCTCCCGGGGTGGTGTCCTGGGGTGCCTGTGGGCAGAGGCCGACTCGTCCCCGCCCCCAGGCCGCTCTGCTCCTGTCGCTTCTGTGGATGCCCGCGCTGCTGCCTGCGGCCTCCCGCCTTCTGTCGCTACCCAGAGCCCTGCTGTCCATGGCGTCTGGAAGCCCCCCGACTCAGCCCTGCCCAACCTCGGGCTCCGGCTACATCCCAGGATCTGTGTCCGCAGCCTTTGTCACTTGCCCCAACGAGAAGGTCGCCAAGGAGATCGCCAGGTGGGTGCTTTAGCGCGGAGCGAGGGAGGTCAGAGGTCGGGGACAAAGACGAGGCTTTTTCCTGGGCTCCAGCTTTGCAAGCTTGCGCTGGGCTGCCCAAGTCGGAGCCCTGGGCGCTCTGACTGGGGCTGTCCTTGTTTTAGGGCTGTGGTGGAGAAGCATCTAGCAGCCTGCGTCAATCTCATCCCTCAGATCACGTCCATGTAAGTCGAAGGGCAGGCCGGGAGCCTTTTTCCTCCAGGCGTCTTTGCTTCCCAACACTCCCCTTTTTTCTGTGATCTCTTTAGCTATGAGTGGAAAGGAAAGATCGAGGAAGACAGTGAAGTGCTGATGGTGAGCTTTCCCCTACCTGAGCAAAAGCACACTTGGTCTCTCATCTCGCCGTCCCTGCCCCCCTGTGCCCCACCCCCCGTCTGAGATCACCCCAGCCCTTTGCTTCAGTGTGTTTATATTTGCCCCTTAGATGATTAAAACTCAAAGTTCCTTGGTCCCAGCTTTGACAGATTTTGTCCGGTAAGAATTTGGACAAAGATGGGCATGTGTGTGGTGGGGACTTGCTGGGGGGGGCTCCTTTGGGAGGTTGCATAACCCCTCCTCCTGTCGCCCTTGCAGTTCTGTGCACCCTTATGAAGTGGCGGAGGTGATCGCGTTGCCTGTGGAGCAGGGGAACCCCCCATACCTGCAGTGGGTGTGCCAGGTCACCAAGTCTCTTTCTAGCTCCAGCACGGTTGTGCCGTGATGCACTGGCTGGGGCCAACCCCTCCCACTCGGTGCCCTAGTCTTTTGGGTGATCACTGAGCCCCCAATAAATCCATCTTTGTTTTTTTCTGCTTTTCGCCTTTTTTCCTTGTTGCATGTAATTGGTTGGGTAAGATCACTGTCCTTTTAGCCCAAATTTCATCTTCTTTCACAATGATTCATGGCCACTAAGTGTGTTATTTCTAGTTTCTTTATTTCAGTCATACAGAATCCGGGGTCCCTTAACGTCCCCCCGTCCCCCCTCCTCAGTCTCTGCACCCAGGGGTTAAATAATTTGTAAAAATATTTAAAAAGCCGTAACAAAATAACATCAAAGGAAATGGGAAGGCTGAGGGGTCAGGAACCGCGAGGGGGTGAAAAGCGTCTTCCCGTCCCCTCTGGATTCCAGCCTGGCAGTAAGGAGAACACCCTATCTCCAGGTACATCCCAGCTGCAGGTGAGGTCAGAGGTCAGGGCATCAAAGTGCTGGCAGGCATAGTCAGGGAGGTGACGGCAGGCTATTCAGAAGATGCCCCCTCCTCCCCACTCCACCAGGTACTGCACAGAGCCATCAGGCCGGACTCTCCGAGCAAGGACCCGGACAGGGTCCCCCCGGGACAGGTAGCCAACCCCACCTCGGACTCCACCCCCGGACCCTGGAGACAAACTGCGGCACAGGGGAGAAGGGGTTGTTGAGCGCCTAGCAAGACCTGGGGAGGGGGCTGGGACTGAGGAAGGTGAGGCAGTCGCGCGGGGGGCACTTTTGGGGACATCTGTGGGGAAGCCGATATGAAGTTCGAGGGGTGACCTAGGGAGAGAAGGCACTGGTCATCAGTCCAGACAGACGTGTACACAGACGGGCCAGATGCAGGACCCCACGTGTCAAAGAAATGAGATGCTCAGAGAATAAGGAACTTGAGACCACAGAGGGAAGGAGACTTCAGGTAATAGGGGAAGAGTCTCACCTGTCTGGGGGTTCACTGTCCCCAGAGGTCCCTGCGGTGCTGGCAGAAGGGTGGAAGGAAGCAAACATCCGGATGGGGCTGCTGGGGTTGGGAGGAAGGAAGTCAGGACCCGAACAGGGCAACAAGATGCTCCCTGGGAAAGCAGAGTGCCCTTATGCGACCACCACGTCCCCAGACTGCTGGGCACCAAGCACTGCCCTAGAAGCTTCTCAAGGACAAGGAGTGAGCAGCCAAGGCAGGTAAGAAGAGAGTTCCAGGCAATGAGGTTCAGAGGACATCAGTAATGGATCACTGACCTGGGCAGGCAGCGGGCATCTGTGGGCCGGAAGTTGTAACCGCTGCTGCCCTGGTAGCTTTGGTTAGGGCTGGGGGTTGATGGAGACACTGAGGCCTAAGAGAAGGACAGAGGACTGAGCAGTCACCTCTGGTTCCGTCCCACAGCCCACCCTGCAGCCGTGGGCTTCCCCTTGCCTCATACCTGCAGTGCCCTCTGCAGCCGAGCCCGCTCTCTCTGCTCCCTCTGCTGCTGGGACTCGGGCTGATCTTGCGCTACTGAGGGTGGCCCCAGCTCCTCCACCTGCCCCTTCTGCCTCCTCCTCAGGGGCTCCTCCAGCTCCGGCCTCCGGCGCTTCCCCAGGGGACGTGAGACCCCTCCCCCTGGGCCCTGCCCTGAAGGGAAGCTGTAAGAGGCTCCTTATCCCCCCAGCCCCCTCCGGACACCCCAAAAACCTCCCAGACCAGTCCCTAGGAATGTCCCCCATCCTCCCTGGACCAGTGACCTGGTGGGGGCTCCGTCTCCGTGAGGGCACTCCACAGGAGGAGGGGCCCGAGCGTGGAGTCCAAACAAGCATTTCCTCTTCTTAATCTCTCTCCCTGAAATGAAACTGAGGCAAGAAGGACATGCTACAGGGTCAGTGTGCAGAGATCCGCAGTCGCAGCTGGAGATGGCCACTGGGTGGGTACAGCCTCTTCCCTCCCTGACTGCCAGGGTCTTGGTCTCACCGGGTCTCCCTGCCACCTCCTCCCTCCACTCACCGGTCTTTGTGGCTGTTAAGAGCAGAGAGGAGCTTGGAAGAACGTTCTCCCTTAGGGGTGTCTGAGAGCTGGGGGAAGCAGAGGCAGGTGGGCTCAGGGAGCAGGGCTCTCTCCCCTACCCTCCAGCACCCTATCTGAACCTGCAGGCTCCTACCTCGCCCAGGAGCAGACTGTCCCAGTTCTCAGAGGTGAAAGGGAGGATCTCACGGTCAAAGTCAAAGTATTTCTTCTTACAGCAGACGCTGAGGTGATAGAGGACAAGATGGGCCACATCCACCCTGGTGAAAAATCCATGTCGTCAAGGCCATGGGAACATGAGCAAAGCCTGGGAGTCCAAGGTGAGCAGCAGGGCTGAGGAGGGTGAAGTGCAATCCTGGGGCGCCCTATCCGCTCACCAGCGCAGCTGCAGCCTCCGGACCTTCTCAGGGCCCCCCCGGCACACACAGCATTCAAACTCATAGAACCTGGGCATGGGCAGGAGGAGAGAACACACCTCATCCAGGTGCACTGGACATGCCATGCAGTGTACAGATGAGGGCCAGGTGGCATGGGTGGGGCCCTCAAGGTAGGACACAGTGAGGGGGCGCCGTGGCTGCCCTGTGAGCCCCCCACTGCTCACCTGTCCCCATACAGGAGGGGCTTGCTCAGACACTGAGTGCAGGCCTCATGGAACCATTGCAGACAGCTCTGGCACTGCAGCATCTTGAGGTTCCACCTGAGGGGACATGGGATGAGTGTCACCTATACATTACCTTCGCCTCAGTGCCCGTGCCTTCTCCCTTCCCCAGGACTCACTCTCCAGGGCCACCACAGTAGCAGTAGCTCTGCTGCCGATTACTCAGGTGCCCGGCATCCCAGTCGAGCCCCTTCAGTCCATATGGCAGCGACAGCTTCATTCCCAGCATGGCCCGGGCATAGGGACCCTTCTTCAGTGCACCACCCCTCTGCAGAGCCAGAGCAGGCAGAACTCAGGGGGCTGGTAGGAGAGCAGCGCGGGTGAGGCTGGCGTTTGGGCAGGACGCCGGAGGTACCGAAGGCGCCTTTACCTTGGTGGCGATGGCAAAGACGCACTGGCGGCAGACCCAGGCGGCAGCCTCTCCTTCTCCAGGGGCTGGGGCCCTGGGCACGTGGCAGTCCTGGTGGTAGGCTGAATGGTAACAGAGTTGCACTCATGCTCTGTGCGTGGCTGGGGTAGTAGGGTCACCTTACCCGTCCCATGGAACCCACTCAGCCTCCTGGGCTGGGTGGGCCAGCCTGATTTCATGAGGCGAGAACTGGGGCTCTTCCAGGCTTCCCCAGAGCACACAGTGTGAAAATGGAGGCTAAGCTACCTTCTGCCTGTAAAGCTTATGCTGCCCCAATGTACAGAGGCCTCTTCCTGCACCCGTAAGGGGACGAAATGGCAGCGTAAGAGTGGTGGCCTAAGGGTTAGGCCAGGATGGGGGACAGGATCGTTAGTACGGGGAAGGGTGACGTCAACTGGGAAGGTCCAGAGCAAACTGGACCACTAAGGCAGCTGCCCTCTCACCGTGGCGACACTTCTCACAGCTGACCAGCCGGTTCCCAGGAGCCACATTCTCCGAGCGGCAGACGCAGCAAAGGAGCTCCTCCCCGGGGAGGGCAGCTGTGGGCAATGCAGGGTCAGGGGGCCTCCCCGAGGCTCAGGGGCCTGGAAAGCCGGGTTCTGTTTCTGTACAGTCCCGGGGCTCTAGAGCCTCACCTGGGCTGATGTCTTTCCACAGAACCAGAAACTGGGAATCGTCCTCAAACTGGACCAGACACACCTCCCGGGCACTGTCCACCTGGGGCCGAGCACAGGGCAAAATGGGAGCCAGGTGCGGCCCAGAGGGCTGGAGGCGGAGGCGAGGGGCGGGGCAGGAAGGCAGCCTCACCTTCTTGATGGTGCCCAGGTACAGCAGCCCGTCTGTCCACCTGGCCAGGACATCCTGCCCCTCCCAAAGTCGAGGCCTGGGGCCCGAGGTGGGAGCAGAAGTGGGGTCCCAAAGAGAGGGGGCTCCAGAGCGGCTCAGCCGGGGGGGCTGCGCCATTGCATCCTGGGGGGGCCTGGCCCGCAGTGATAGAAAAGTCGGTTGTGAAGGCTGAGAAAGCGCCCCCCTTTTTCTGTCAAGGGCGAAGCATCCGCAGCCAGTCTCCAAAGTCCCCGGACACTGGGCGACCCTTCCCAGCTTCCACACTCCAGTTCTTCCAACTCTGCCCTTTGGTCCTCTTCCCCCCACCACCCCAACCTACTTCTCTAGTTTCCCAGCTTCCAGAGCTCTCCAGGGAGGGCAGATCCTGGCCATAGGATCTTAGGAGAAATGACGGTTGCCGAGACAAGGGTTACACACAGCTGCTTAGAGGGAGCAGGATTGGGGTGCTCTGCGCTGCCGCCCAGAGATTGGGGGGGGGGGGCTTTTTTGGAGACGTTTTCTAGAGTAGAGTGGCTGGCCACCGGGCCTGCGTGTCTCGTTGAGGACAGTCCCCCTGGTGCCAGGCTATGTCAGGTCACCCTCCAATCAGGGGCTCCCTGCCCCTGGGTAGACAACTTCCCCGACTGCCCCAGAGGGGGGCGTGTCCCCGTCCCGGGCTCCACTCCCCACCACGGCGAGTCTGAGCGGGACGCGGTCGCCGCCGCCCGGCCGAGTCCCGGGCGCCGAGGCTCCGCTCCCTTGCCGCCCCGCGCCGCCCGGTCCTGCCCCCCCACCCCGCGCCTCCCGCCGTCTCCTTACCGGTGACAGCTGGGGCGGCCGGGAGCCGCGCAGGGGCAGATGTCGGGGACCTGGGCGAGCCCCGCGCACGGGGAGGGCGCGTAGGGGCGCTGGGGGGCGTGAGGGCAGAAGCCGGGGGTCGCCGGGCCCAGCCCCTCCGTCCCGGCGGTTCTGGGGCGTATGACGCAGCAGCCAAAGCAGCGGCAGCGGCAGGAGGAGGCGGCGGGCAGAGGGAGGGGAGGGAGGGACGGACCGGTGGGGGGCGGGGGGAGGAGCCGGAGGGGGCGGGCGCCGCCTCACCCCACCTCCCTCACCTCCACAGGCCCGCGGGCGCGGGGCGGGCGGCTGCGCCTCTGCTGCCGTGGCGCGCGGAGCTCGGGCAGGAGAGGGAATCCCCGAAGCCCCCTCCTCCGCGGGGAGGCTCGCCCCGGGGGCAGCAGGGAATCCCCCGGCCCCATGCCCTAGCCGTTGCCGCCCCGCCCCCGGGCGCCCGAGCCCCGCCCCGCTCGCCCTTCCCGTGCCCCCCGCCGTCGCCTCGGCCCCGCCCCCCGCGGCGAGTTGCCCTCCGCCGCGCTCTGCGCACGCGCGGCCCCTCCCGCGCAGGCACCTGGGCAGGCCGAGCCCCTCCTCTACCGGGCGGCGGCCGCGGCGGTTGGCGCTGGAGCCGTGCGCCGCTTCCCGAGTTCTTCCCGCCCGCCCGTCTCCAAGGCGGTTCGAGGACGTGAGGGTTAGTACCCGAGGTGGTGACGCGCGGACGCCAGCCAATGGGCAGCGGGCGGGAGGGCCCTGGCCGTTCGAACGGGAGTGGACGGCGGGGAAAGGCGCGAGGGGCGCGGAAAGGGCACCGGTGCGGCCCCGGCACTGCGGAGGAAGCCGCCCTGACCAGGTGAGAGCGAGGGCAGCAGCGCCCGCGCCCACGCCCTGCGAGGCACGTCCACGGTACCCATCCTTACAGATGTGAAAGCTGCTAAAAAACCTTTATTTGAAGATCATCGGGGGCGGGGAGGTTAGTATTTTAATGTTTTGAAACGGGGTCTCGCTTGTAGCCCAGGCTGGCCTCAAACTCAGTAATCCTCCTGCCTCAGCCTCCCAGGGGCTGGGATTACAGATGCGCCACCATGCCCAGCAGTATTCTTTATTTGATAAACCAAGTACATAGTGCCCTTCACCCCCCAAATCATCCCAGAAATCTGTCCCCTCCCAATACAGACACAGACAAAACACAGAGGTTCTGGCTCCATCTTCATCTCTTGTTGGCTTGGGCAGTACCGATAATACACTGGTTCACCTGAGGACAAGAAAGTAGATTTTAGAAGCAGTGTGCAGAGGAACAACTTTTCCCAAGCTCAAGCTGGTCTTGCTGCACTCAGTTGTGGTGTGGCGCCGGCAGACGTCCCCAGTAGGACAGAGAAGCACAGGCCTGCCAGTTCCGGTTCTAGAGGGAAGAGGACCCCAAGTCCTCCGCCTTAAGAAGGCACAGAGCACGAATGTGCCTTCACACTGGGCTCACTAGAGCCCCGGGTCTGGAGGAGGTAAGGGGAAAGTAAACAGCCAGGCGTCATGGCACACAGCTGCACCCTCAGCAGTCTGGGAAGCTGAGGCAGGAAAGTCACAAGTGGGAACCCAGCCTGGGCAACTTGGTAATTTAGCAAGGCCCTATTAACATTTTTTTAAGGACCAGGATGTATCTCAGGGAAAAAGCCCTATGTTCAGTTCTAAGTATGGCAAAAGAAGGGTGGAAGGGCTGGGGAATGTGGCCTAGTGTGTGGACAGCCCGGAGTTCAGTCCCTACCACCAACCAAAAACTTTTAAAAAAGAACAAAGGAGGAGAGTAGAAAGGGCTTACGTGACTAAACGTGATCTAATGATCAGAAAGAATGAATGTAAGACACATGAAATATGTAAGCATCTGAGAAATGGTATTTCCATCTCCCATTAAAGCTAAATAGAGGGCTGGTGAGATGGCTCAGTGGTCTAAAGCACCTACTTAGAACAAGCTTAGCAAAGCGCAAGGACCGCGGTTCAATCCCCCAGCACCACATGCCAGCCAGCCCTGCCCCCTGGTGGGCTGAACTGGCCACACACACACATAAATTTAAAAAAAAAAAAAAAAAACTAAATAAAAAACTAAATAAAGGGGCCGGGGAGATGGCTCAGTAGGATAAGCACTTCACTGGCAAACACAAGGATCTGAGTTCAATCCCCGGTTACACACACACAAAAAAAACTTAATAGAAAAAACAAAAACTAATAGGGCCAGCCAGATAGCTTAGCAGACTAACGTGCCTGCTTAGGTGCAGGGACTGGGTTTTGATCCCAGGCATTCTGTGCTGACCATGGCGTGGGGTTGTGCTGAGAGGGCAACTGAGACTGAGGCGTGCCTGTAATCCCAGTGCTTGGGAGGCTAAAAACAGGAGGATCACTAGGAGTCCGATCTATGTAGTGAGACCCTGTAGACCCTGTACTAAATACATAAAAAAGCAAAAAACAAAAAGGAAGTACAAACTCATGGATGTGATGGTCCAGCCTGCTGTGACCCCTGAGGTGGGGGTGTCTTGGTATAAGCAGCAAAGACCCTGTCTCAACAACAGACCACAAAAGTACAACTAGGTATTAGGAGCTTTCTGCTAGGACATAATAGGAAGTGGAACACACTGTCTACTAAGTTTTCCTGCCAAGAAGTTTGAACTAGAATTTAAAATTCAACCAAACCTCTCAGTCTAACTACCAGATAACAAAAAGTATGAGGGGCAGAAGGAAGTAACTGGTTGAGAACCTAGACTATATCCAGTGGGAGAAATGACTTCACTTCTTAAGCAAATATTGAAAAGTGTCAAGAGGGCCTATAAGCAATTAAAATAAATTTGAGATGCTTCCTCCAAATGAACTGGCCCTTGTATCCACCCTGGACTTGTATGTGAACAAACCTAATGTGTAAAATATAATCCTGAGACAGCTAGGTGAACCTGGACTTTGGTTTTTGGGAACAGTTCATGATATATACAATGTTGACATTAATAAAATTAGCCCCCAAGACCGAAATAAAAATAAGGAAGTGTTGGGGAGGGCCCAGCACTGCCCTCTCTAGTGACCTTTCCAGATCGTGGGGTAGGCCTGAGCAGAGTAGGTGAGCAGAGGTGGCACAGGATGGGGCAGACCAGATCCAACCACTGAAGGCAGGATCCTCGCGTGGCCCCACCCTCAGGAAAGGGGAAGACCAAGGGACCTGGCTCATGTACACCTCCAGGTGTCAGGAAGCTTTGTGATTTGCTTAAAACTCAGCACAAGTGGTACATCCCCTTGGGAACTGAGGGCCACAGGCTGAGCCTGAGCTCCCTCTCTGGGGAGCTCTAGACAACTCGGTACACCTCCTTTGTTCTACCTCTCATTTTGAAGAATATTTGCCTAGAAAATAAGATGTAATGGAAACAGGTGCTACAAGGGCAGGACAGTAGTTATGTGGCCCTGTTTGTAACAGGGCAAGGTAGAAACAATGCACATGTCCAGCAGAAGGAACCGGTGGGTATATTTTGGTGTGTGAATCCACAGAATCCAAGGCAAATCTAAAAATGATGGCCCTGAGTGCTGAGGGGGTACAGGCCAGGGGCTATCCCCCAACCCCAATACTGGTGGATAAACCCAGAGTCTTTGCCTTGAGTTTCCTTTCCAGGCATGTTTTACTTTTATTTTGAGATGAGGTCTTATTTCACTAAGTTGCTCAGGATGAACCAAATTTGCAGTCCTCCTGCCTCCACCTTGCAGAGTTCTGGGGTTACAGACATGCAGCACCATACTTGGCTCTTGGGCCTGTTTCATTGAACAAACAGGAACATAAATGCATATCTAAGGGCCGCCCAAATAGCTCAGCGGAATAAAGCACCTGCTAGCAGGCACAGGACCCACGGTTTGATCCCTGGGCCTGCCATGCTGCCCTGCCCCCAGGGCACAAGGAGATGACAATTGAGACTGGTCGTGGTGGTGCTCGCCTGTAATCCCAGCTCTCAGTGAGGCTGAGGCATGAGGACTATAAATCTGAGGCCAGCCTGGGCAGCTTACCCAGACCCTATCTCAAAGAGAAAAATGGGCTGGGGGCGTGCAGTGTAGTGTGAGCAGCTGGGTCCCGCAACACCAAGGACCTGGACAGGTGGCACCAGATGTCTGTGGATGTAAACACTTCCCTTTCTGGGCTGAGAGGAGAAAGGAGACTAGACAGAGACGCGCTTGATGGCAGACCCACCTTGGAGGCAAAGCGCAGAGAGTTGAGGGACTCGGAGGCGTTGTCTTCTAGCGGGGAGATGTTCACAAACATGAGCCTGTGGGGAGAGGTGCAAGCTCAGCAGAGCGCGGCCGCCCCGCCCATCTCCCTGCCAGCTGCCTTTCACTTACATCTTGGCGCTGCCACCCAGAGAGTTCTGCAGCAGGTAGGTGAGCTTGCTGTTCCGGTAAGGAACATGGGGTTCCTAGGGGTTGGGAGCAAGATGTGAGGGTGGCCAAAGGCTCTGTATAGCCCACCTAAGCCTCCCTGCCCTGACCCCCCCCCCCCACCTTGTTGCTCAGAGCCATGATGACCAGCCCCAGCGTGGACAGGCTGCTGTTGATGGCCTGTGTCTCCCGCAGGCGGTCCCGCTCCCCAGGGCCCAGGGCAAGGCTGGAGTCAAGCCGCTCACTGCCAGCCAGGTCTACAAGGTTGAGAGGCGCCCCACACTGCAGGCCGCGGGCAGTGTGCTCCCCTGAAATCTGCAGCTGGAACACGCTGTGGCTTCGGGATGAACGCTCGTTCTGGGCTGTGCGGGCCACGGCCCGGTTCTGATGGGCCAGCTGAAGCAGGGCCCTCACCTGGAGATGGAAGAGTGGACAGGAAGTTGGTAGATGACGTCACATGTGGCAGAGGGCACCTCAGCCACTGCCCTCGCAGAGCTTTCTAGTCAGTGAAAAGGCAGTTGGGCAGCGGACAAGCCGCGCTCGTGCCCACCCTTCCTTCTCCAATCCTCTCGTGCGCCTCTCTCTGCCCTCCCCCAGCTGTCCACTTCCCACTTCCCCGCTGTCAGTTCCACACCTCTCTCTCACAGGAGACTGGGATGTAGCGGGCATTGGTGACAGTAAGCTCCTCACTCCCAGGTCCTGCCCGGCGAATCTCGCACTCGCCTCCTTGGCCCTTTCGGGACCCAGTGGCAAGCAGGTCGCGGACAGTCTCATTGTAGATCTCTACATAGCTCGCCACAAAGCTGTAAGTCCAGCCCTGGCCACTCATTTCTTCGGCCACAGAGAAGAGATGGCGCAGAGCCCGAGGGATCAGCCCCTCCAACTGGGGGTCTCCCGCAGGCCCACCCTCCATCGTGAAGGTCTTGCCACTTCCTGTCTGGCCATAGGCAAAGATGCATACTGGGTAGCCATCCAGAGCCGACTGCACAAGCATGGCAATCTCTTCAAACACTTCGTCCTGCCTACTTTCTGGTGGGAACACCCGGTCAAAGGAGAATTCGAGCCGGGTAGGTGGGGCTGGAGCCCCAGTCAGGGTCCCACGCCGATCATCAGAGCGGGAGAGGCTAAGGCGGGTGGGGACATCAGAAGGCCCTCCAGGCCCAGGAGGAAACACAAGGAAGCCAGGGGATGGGGTGGGCTCTCCTGCAAGAACGGGGCGGACCCGGCAGAATACCCGGATGTTGCCCTTGAGTTCCTGCAGCTGGTTATGCAGTCGCCGGCGCTCCATCTCTAGCCCGTGGAGACGGTCTCCTCGCTCAGCCAGTAAGGCTGCCTGGGCTTCATTCTCCCGCCGCAGAGATGCCACTTCCGCCTGGCTGCTCGACAGTGCTGTTTCTGATGCCTGCAGCCTCCTCTGCCGAGGATGGAACAGACAGCAGTTGACATGCAATCAACAAATCATGTGGCTAAGAGAGGCATGAGTAAGGTGGGAGCCGTGGCCCCAAGGACTTTACAGTCTAGCAAAGAGCAATGTGAAAATAATCAGGGTAGGGACATAGCTCAGTGGTAGAGTACCTGCTTCTTAGCAGGTGTGGGCCCCAGTACTATAGACAAAACAGAAAAAGGAAAAAGAAATCAACGCTAGGGCAGAAAGTGCTATGGGCATTTACAGGAGGGGTACGAGGGAGAGGTAGCCTAGGCTGATGCCCATAGGGAAGGCTGGGCTGCAGGAAGAACGCTCCAGGAAAGGGGAGGCACCTATGCAAAGGCCACGGGGAGAGCCGAGTTCCTTCAGTTCTGCACATCACTCAGGCTTGCTGGAGGGGTTGTGACCGCTGGTGATCAGTGGGAAGAGCGAGAGGGGGAGACACTAGGAGCACGGAGGAGGGGCCAAAAGTGAACCAAGCTGGAGCGGGTTGGTGAGAAGACAGAAGCACCACTGGAGCCGGCACTCCGGGGCTGTGAGCCTCAGGAACGTGAGTGAGGGGACCCCGGCTGGAGGAGGGCGCAGCCTCACCTCCTGCCCCTCCAGTCGGGTGGTCAGCGTCCTCCGCTCCTCCTGCAGCTCCAGCTGTTCTTTCCGGAGCACGTGCACCAAGCCCTCTTGTGTGCCCAGCCGCTCTTCCAGCTCCAAGACGCGGGCACTCAGACTCCCCAGCTGCTGCTGGCCCTGCTCAGCCTGGGCCCGCACCTGGGCCAGCTCCCCCTCCAGGCTGCTGCGCTCCATCCCCAGGGCACTGGCCTGCTGCTGGGCCTCTTGGAGCTGGTCCCGCAGCTGCTGGTTCTCCTGGTGCAGCGTTTGTGCCTTCTCTCGGCAGCGTTTCAGCTCTGCGTTGAGGTCGCACAGCTGACCCTTGAGGTCCCAGCCAGGACGTTTGCCAGGTTTCTTGCCTCCTACCACAGGAACCGCAGGTGCTGACAGGCACAGAACCAACCAAGGTCTGTTGACTTTGTTTGCTGTGCCTGCTCCATGCCTGACATCATATCCGCCTCCATCCCTCCAGACAGCCAGGACACTGTGGGTTTTCCTGGGCACCCACTGTGCGCCTTTCCTATCCCAGCAGGCACCCAGTGGTCCTGTCTGTCACCTACCAGCAGGCTTCTGGGCAGGAACAGTGGGGGCCAACCTCTGATTCTTCAGCGCTGAAGAATAACGGAGCTGACATAAGATGACAAAACCAGCGTCCCTCCCGCTAGCTCCTCCCTCTACATACCCGAGGCCTCCACAGCAGCAGCCTACCTGTAGCTGGGGGGCATGGTCCTGTCTTCCTGGGAAGCTTTTGAACTGCAGATGCAAAGAGGGGAGGTAGGAAAGTAACCCGTAGGTAGCACAGGCTGGCTGAGCAAGGAGCGGGAGAGGGGTTTTGTTTTTGGTTTTTGGCTTTTTTTTTTTTTTTTTGAGAACAGTCTTACTATTTAGTCCAGGCTATCCTTGAACTCATAATCTTCCCGCCTCAGCCTGCAAGAGGGCTGAGATTACAGGCTTGCACCACCATGCTTAGCTGCGAGTGCTTTCTCTAAGGACTGGAAGTAAGATAACTTTGTCTGGCCAGCTCTCACTGACAGCCCTCCTAGGACAGAAAGGACACCAACCGAGAAGCAAGTTGGAGTGCAATAAGTAAAATGAAAAAGGGAACAAGTGGGGCGTGGCATCCACATTAGCTTGAATGCAAACACCATCCCTACAAGAGCCAGATGTGGTGGGGCTCGCTGGTAATCCCAGAACCTGGAAGGCTGAGGCAGGAGGATCAAGGTCAGGGTCCGCCTGAGATATACAGCGAGGCTTTCCTCTACCAAAGAATCTCCCCAAATGCTCAGTTTCCTCTGAGAAGGGGACCAAGGGGGCTAGGGGACGAGGACAAGAAGGAAGAGTCTGTGCATAAGTCTTCATGCCTTTGGAATTCTGAACCAAGTGCAATGTGGACTGCAGTCTAGAGGAAAGAGCAGGTGAGTGCGGCCCCCCACCTGGGCCAGTCACCCAAGCCCACCTGCGGTCTGGCTTTGTGATGCTGTGCTGAGGGGTGCGCTTGGGCCCAGGCCTCGTGTCCGCTTCTGGGGAGAGAGAGGGACAGGGTTCACTCGCCCTCCACGTCACACAGCCGCCGCACACACCAGCCCCCAGCTTGCTCACCTTTGCTGGCTCCAGGGCTGGCTCCATCTGCTCCAGCCCCCTCTTGAGCCTGCTTCCTGCGAGAGGAAGGCGGGAGGAGGCCTTGGCCAGGTGCGTCTTCGGCTCTGTGTTCACCTTCACTTGCAACAGGGGGGACCTCTGATGGGAAAGAGAACCTCAAGGTGATACCCAGGAGCCAGGCAGCCCAGGACGCCTTTTCTGCGCCCCCCGCCCCCAGCGTGCATCCTCAGTGTCACCTCAAGGAGCACTACCTGAGTCCTGTTTGTGCCCAGCCAGGCAGCCTGGGCAGAAGTGGAGCCTGGCCTGAAGGCAGGGGTAGGATCTAATGGAGGATGCTGAAAAGACCCTGTATGTGAGCTACTTCTTAGGGTAGGACTCAGACAAGAGATACTCCTACAGAGAGCAGCCTCCACTGGCACTGTGTGACTGGGAAACTGGCAGCGCTTTCAGCTAGAGCTGACGCATAAATAATCGAGCCAGGGAGATAGCCCAGTGGAATAAGTGCTTGCCTGGCAAGTGTGAGGTCCTGAGTTTGATCCCTGGTACCACCAAAATAATAATAATTATTATTATAAATAATCGAGGGGCTGGAGAGATGGCTCAGTGGTCTAAGGCACCTACTTAGAACAAGCTTGGCAAAGCATCAGGGACCGTGGTTCAATCCCCCAGCACC